GGCGGACTCACCCCGTCAGCAGCGTCTGCACGGCTTCTGGCAGGTAGGCGTCAAGGTCCCGGCCCACCCGGTCTCCCACGGCGGCGAGGCAGTCCTCCACCGAGCTGTCCGGGTCAGCCGGGCTGAACACGGGCGACGTGTGGCGGTCAAAGCCCGTGCTGGAAAAGGCTGAAAGGGGCAGAAGAAGAGTTTGGGACTATTTCTGGATTTGTTGTTATCGGGAAATGTAGAGGAGGAAAGAGAACGTCCTCCAAACCATCTATCATTCATAAAGCACAGCTCATCATCATCCTGTGCATGAGGGGGTGGGGGGACACCAGCCCTCGTACTACAGAAAGCTCTGCTTATGTAAAGAAAGCAAAGTCCTGACCAGCACACATTTCATATTCATGCACTGACCAATGATTGACTTCTCAGTGGCTTTGCCCAAGCGGACACACTGAACCAATAATAACCAAAAGTCAGGCGCTTTCCTTTGAACTGATTTACACATTAACACGCAGCAATATTTGACTTTGCGATGGAAAGCTGGTAACGGGCGAGCGGAGGCCCGGGCTGGACGTGCTGCCCCACCACCCCGCTGTTCTGGTACTGAACGCTGACCCATACGTGTGGGGGGCCTTTGGGACAACTTACAGGCAGCAATGTCGTCTTCCAGCTGTCTCAGCTCTTCCTCGATCTGCTCCCTTATTGCTCTGGCCTTCTCCCTCTGGGTCCCCGCATCTCCTGAACGACATTAAAAACACATGAGATGAAAAAGGGACCAAACCTTTCAGAGATTCTGTATGAAATGCAGCAGATCCTGGGGGGGGGGGGTGCAGCACCAACATGAGAGTGGGATGAATGCTCTATTTTATGAGTGACTGGATTTTATGAGATTTTATGAGGATTTTACCAAAGGATCAAAAGCAGAAACTTGGCCACCTGTGCGCTCCACCATAATAACAAGTGAACTATACCTGCATCCTTAGCAGTACTCTGAAAGCACATTGTGCCAACAGGCCTCTGTGGATGTGTAAACACTGACTTTTTTCTGCTGGGCAGAGAGTCTTTCAGGTTTCGGTGGCGCTAACCCAAACATATTCCCACTAAACAACTCTTCACACAACTTATACGGAAAGAAATGTTTTTAACTAAACTTTTAAAAAAACAAACACAGGTCGTGAGGGGATCAAGCTCTTGTTTTATACTGAAATAAAGACATTGGTCATTTTACTGACTATTACTTTTTACGAGTTTGAGTAAAAAAGGAGGGCCCGCAGCCCTCCTCTGCTGTCCCTGTTCCTGAGGCCCTGCCCCAGCACCCTGAGGACGGTGTTGGTTTTTCCTGAGCCGGGTGCTGCCTCAGCATTCAACCCCACAGCTAGCCAGACTTCCACTGTGCCTCGGCCCATCGGCGTGCGAGTAATCCTACAATGATTGCACACGACAGGCTGTCAGAAGACGGAGCGGGTCAGGCGGAAAGCGGGGATCAGCCACTCAACGGCCCCTCTCCGCCCATTTCAGGCAGTCCCATGGAAACGGACAGGAAATGTCAACATCTTTTCTTTCTTCTTTTTCGAGAGATTTGAACTTTTCCCTCACGTTTCGCAATTCAAATGCTTGGAATCAGAAAAAGCGTGACAAAAAGCTGCTATCCTGCACAACAGCCTTTTCTAGCAATTCCTCCTGACAGTGAATGTGATTAAATAAAAAATAAAAAATAAAAATAACACTTTCCAGTCACACAAGGAGAGACACAATACTCTGGAGGTGCCTTTACTCAGACACTTTATTTCTCAGCAGCCATATTTTTTGCATTCACACCACCATCTTTGGAATTTCTGCACATCGGGCAGTGAGCAGAGAGGATGAAACACTAAGTCGTGTGAGCCTGCGTTCATATCATAGGAAATCCTCAAGAGCGTCTCCAAAGAAAACAATCTGGATGCCATATTAGAGTACTTGAGGGACTCAAGTGGTGACTCACATACCTTTCCTTTGTTCGCAAGCAACGGCTAAATCAAAGTGGCCTTACTTGTCTTCTAAATGCACTTCCATACCAAAGTCACAGAGAGCTAAATAGAGACGGTTAACAGGTGGCGCCTGGATGTGTCACAGCCATGTGTGCATGTGTGCACCCTGGGCATGAAAGGATAAAAAAAAAAAAAACTTTCCCCTCACCTCGATCTGAAGCTGGTGCGTGTGATCTATCGACAGGCAGCATTCCCAGGTAGCTGAGCACGACGTATTTGGTTTCATAGTGGAAACCCTCAGGCACGGAGGCGGGGATGGAGGCACCAGAGGTGGGGCCGGAGGCGGCCATTGAGCTGACCTGTGTCAGGCTGTCGGACACGTTCATTCTCACAGTCGAAGCTGGACGTCTCACCTGCGGGGAAAAAAAAGCAAAAAAGATGGTTCAGACACTCAGTTGTGAAACTGAAAAGCAAATCCTTCTCTAGGCTGCAACTCTTAACTCTTAAACAGCTGTTACATAGTCTCTCAGTTTGTCCTACACACTTTGTTCAAGGAGACTGATTCACTTTGCTGACATCTATAAGGGAAAGCTAACACCTTATTGAATAAGAGCCATTTTGGGAACTCTATGACCACATGGGTGGGAAATGACAGCAGAAGAATGTCAGACATTACTGGCACAGTTTGCAGTTCACTCTTTAAACAACATATGTAGAACCTAAATAAGTAATAAACGTCTTGACATAACCGAGAGAAAATATACATACAAATGGTTATGTTACTATAGTTTTCAGTATGGTTTAAGGTGCAAGTTTGTCCTCCGTCTCTGCTTTCCAAAAGTTACACCATGTGGACCAAAAGTTGAGAAACGTCAAGTCCGACAAATTAACACAGCACTTCCGGTGCCATCAAAATAAACTCTGCCAGTGATATAAGGTAATAATAAATAAAGGTGATATCTAAATCCTCTATCATTAATTAAAGTTTTTTCAAATCAGCTATCAGAATATAAGCATACACGGTTAGCTGACGTTTTCATAAAAATTTAGGCAGAAGTTTAATAGACCACAATGTCCCTGAGTCCAGTACATGTGTATTTGTATTAAATGATGAACAAACTGGTAAATTCCCAAAGCTCTTGAATGAAAATGACATTTTTCAGTAAAGCACCGGCTGGAACAGCTCTGCCCACATGCAACCTCTGTTAGCTAGCATCGCATGACACGTTTTAAGGATAGTTACGAAAAACCCTAACTTCAATTCAACTTATTTCAGGCTTAGCGTGCGGTTCTTTCTTACCGCCCTTGTCCGAAGGCAACCAGGTGCTAAGAAAAGATAACAGAAGGAGATATTTGCAACCCAATCCCTCGCAGCAGTAGCTGGTGAGGGCAGACCACCACTGGCTGGCAGCAGTAGCACAAAACCCCAGTACACAATGTGCTTTGGCTGGAATACAAGCGAGCGGAAATAAGCCCTGCGTGTTCCTGTAAACCCCTTCAAAATAACACTCTAGCTAGCTAGCGGGCACTGGTTGCCCTTTTTTAAAGACCATATCGACGCGACACTTTTGTGTGGGAGAAGGGGGCATTAATTAGGCGTATCCTAGCAACTGAGGGTGCCGTAGTTGAGCTCAACGTCTAACGTTAAAATAACGTTGGTGCCCTCCACCGGAAGTGGAGAGGTGCTAAAAAACACCATTACAGTGTCATCAGGTGACGCCCTCTCAGCATTTCTTCACTCAGTTTTTAAACCTAAAAAAACTTCCCGTGCGTTATTCCACTAGTCATTAAATGTCTTCAATTATGAGTACCTAATGTGTTAGACGTATTGGTTTTCAAAACGTGTCAGACGAAAGTTTTTAAGCAGGCGACCTTCCAATTTTATTTTGAAAGTTTACATAAATTGAGTTCCGTCATATTTAACAACCCCGGCTTGAAACTCCGAAGAAAAGTCCGTCTTGTCGAGGGTTCCAGGTTCGAGAGTCTGTCAAAGTGGTTGCGAAGTGGTTTTCTTCACTATACTTGTGTTAGCATTTGAGCAGACATGGCGCTCACCGACGCCGACGTCCAGAAGCAGGTAGGCCGTTGAGTTTTTAACGGCTGAGTTTAAATTCTGTCGACTGAATTTTGAAATGAATCGTAAACGCGCAGCTAACGGGCACGAAACGCCAACTGGTATCTGCTCAATAACTACGCTGCTTCGGGTCTTTTTCTTGTTTTATTTGCACCATAACGCGTTGAAACGTGTTAATTAAAAAACAGTTCATATTTATTTTCTCTTTTTCTGTGAATTCTCCTCACGCACGGCTCAGTTAAATACATGTCCGCTGTAAACCACCACAACAACAACAGGGTACAGATGTCCAAACCCATGTATTTAGACGGAGTCTGTTGTTTTCTGTGGCAGATCAAGCACATGATGGCCTTCATTGAGCAAGAGGCCAGTGAGAAAGTGGAAGAAATCGATGCTAAGGTAATGGAAGCCCGTCTGCCGGTTAAGTCTTGTGACTTACATTATGTTTTCTCATTTATCCTATACATAACCTTCTGATGGGGACAATTACTTGTTGTTTTTTCCAGGCAGAAGAGGAGTTCAACATTGAAAAAGGTCGCCTTGTCCAGACCCAGCGAGTTAAAATAATGGAATACTATGAAAAGAAGGAGAAGCAGATAGAACAGCATAAAAAAATGTGAGTTTGGTGTTACATATTTGCAGATTAGGACAAATGTGATCAGTCTAGAGCAGCTGCACCTCATTACACTAAACCCAGCTGTGATTTCAAACCTTTTTACCAAATTTACATGAGATTATTGTTCTGGGCCCCTAGATGCTTGTAAATTAATGATCAGAGATGAGAGTCTTTGCACTCTTACAAAATAGACTTGGTCTATTTAGACCTGTTCTCTATCAAAGTGTCCGTGGGCTGCACACTGAAAAACAAGTTGTTCCCCATGGCATTTGCATTCAATTTCAACTGGAAGGACCTTTTGCATGTGTATGTAAAAGTGCTTGTAAAGCACTTTGGAGTTCCTTGCAAAGGCTAAAGGGCACCATGTAAATGCAGACCCTGTTTACCCCGTTTTAACCTGAGCACAGCAGTAGAAAATGTTTTGGGGACTTTGCGCTGTGACATATCTGTGAATAAATTAAACGGGATCAATCACGGAAAACCTTTCTCCTCAGCCAGATGTCCAATCTGACGAACCAAGCCAGGCTAAAGGTGCTGAAGGTCCGAGATGACCTGATCACGGTGAGAGATCCCTGCTCACGTCCTACAGCACTTATATTTGTATCTTTTTTTACTGTTGTGTCGCACAATTTTACCACAGAGCATCTAGATTTTAAACACATCTGTTATCTTATCTGTAAGAAATTGGTTTAGAAAAAAAAGATAATGCCAGCAGACTGCAGGAAGGGTTATCTTTTCGGTTGTGTTTTAGCATGATTGGTGATTTTTAGGAAAATGTTGAACCTTTTCTCTATCTCCTGTCTTTCTTCGTGTCACAGGACCTTTTAAGTGAGGCCCGTCAAAGACTTGCAGAGACTGCCAAGGACCCCGAAAGATACGCCAAACTGTTGGAGGGCCTTCTGCTTCAGGTAGAACATGACGCAGGGGTCAGGATAAACACTATTAAGAGGTTAAATCGTCCTCTTTATTTTATCGGATTTATTTATTTATATTTTAGGGATTTTTTCAACTATTGGAACCAAAAGTGACAGTTCGCTGCAGGAAGCAGGATGTGGAAACGGTGCAGGTGGGGCTGATCTGACATCTTCTATGCTGGGATTCCTGCTACAGAAGTCCCAGACATGCATCCTAGACATTGGATTGATGGTATCTGTTTTGTCACCTGACAGGCAGCAGTTAATAATACCATCCCTGTTTACAAAGAAGCAGTCAAAAGCACAGTGGCAGTCAGAATCGATCAGGATCGCTTTCTTCCTTCCGACATGTAAGATTTTTCTGATGCATTTAATGTCTTTTTTGTTTTAAATGAGTTTGCTTCTCTCGATGTGCAGTAAATGTGTCCTCTGTTTCATCAGCTGTGGAGGAGTGGAAGTCTACAATGACAATGGGAAGATCAAGGTTTCCAACACTCTGGAGAGCAGGCTTGAACTCATCGCACAACAGGTTGAGTAACTGTGTAACTTTGTGTGCTGTGAATCCAGATTCGGGACCGTTAGCTGCAGCTCCTGTTGTTCGTCCATGGAGGGCAGCACAGCGCCTCTGGTTTAAGTCTGATCAGCTCAAAATTAGAAAGGAATCTTGTGCTTCTATCGGGCCGCTATTCTCCACTATTATTTACTGCTCTTAAAATCAGATGATGCTTAGATAATCGTATAAGTGATCATGTTAGTTATGGGAAAAGTATTTCTAGTTGTGTAGATTTTTTTGTGCCTGTTTCAGATGTATTAATATGTAGTTTTTATAACACATGCCTTATATAAGTATGAAAAAAGTCAATGTGCCAATGGAGCCCTTGAGAACAGTTGATTTTATCCTATTTTATAAGGAAATTTCAGGAGTTCCCGAGAGTTGTGCCATTAATGTGTAAAATGTGTTAAATACTACTGTATTACTTCAAATTAATACACTTTTTGATTTAATTTAAATCAATTAAAGGTGGTAATGGTAAAGGTTGTAATTAAAGGTGGAAGGAAAGAATACATTGAACTTTTCGAATTTTTCCATGAATGTGCTTCAGTAGTTTTTTAGGATGCTTTTAGCCTTTTCCTTTCTTTTCATGTGCTGTCCTGCCCCTTTGCAGATGATGCCTGAAATCAGAGTCAGCTTGTTCGGGGCCAACCCAAACCGTAAATTCACAGATTAGCGGCGGCCTGGAAGGCGGTGGCGTGGACTCGGGCGGAATCTTTAAGGTGACCACGTAAAGGAGCTTGTCGGACGGCTTGCCACTTATCGGAGTCAAAGAAAATGATGTAATTCAGGGGCTGTGTTCATGTGATTTCTAATTTAGGATTATTCCTAAATGCTTTTTGACCCCTGTCTTTACCTCTCTGGGAGATGTCTACGTTACTACTTCATCAGGCTTTGGCAATGCATTGCTTTTAAGCTGTTTCAGGGCAAATAACCAAGCTATCAACCAAAGACACTTTCACTTAATTTATCTCCATTTTGTTTTGACCACAGTTAAATCTAAGTTGTTAATTAGTTGCTTTTGTATCTTTGCGTGTGAGTGTGTGTGTGTGTTTGTATCTGTCCACAAAGACAAACTTAGCATTGTTCTAAAGCAATGCCGAATGCCAAATAAATGAATTTGTGACGCAGTGAAATCATTCAGTATGAATTATCTTTATTTGCAGATTGTAAACAAAAACGGTTTGCTCAGGCTATGTTCACTCTACAATGAGGGAAATGTAGTAGCCTAGGTACACTATCCACATCAAAGTGTGTCCTTCATTAAAAATGTACAAAAACAAACAAACAAAAAATCTTTTAGTGCCACCCATTGGGATCGAATTCTGTCTGTTGGCAAGACAAGCTGCCACACTCCCTCAGCGGATCGAACTATTTTAATTATTTTTGCTAAAGTGGAGCAAAGTACCAAAACAGCAGTTCAACACCGTCAGTCCCATTGAATTAATTTGAAATGGAGGACCGATTCTTTTGAAACTAACAGCAAGGATAAGGCGTTGATTGCATTTTCTGCAGTTGTTTTGCACACATTTACTCAAAGCAACATGTTTTTAACCAGAGTTATGCAGGAAAATTAAGCGCCAAGGGTTCCGCTTTAACCAGTAGACGAATTCTGAGCAGTTCAGGCATTTAACCTGTGACCTTTAAGCAGGAAGTGAGCTGTTTGCTAAGGTATATTGTATGCTAATGCAGGGATTAAAGCATTATCATCAGATTAACAGCTGACCTCAGAAAGACTGACAGGTTGTACCTCCCTGTCCAGGGATAGAATCCAAGATTACTACTCCGACCTACAGGATGGAGTGGGAGGAATGCGTAATAGAGTAAACAGGGATGTTGAACTCCCGTTCTAGGCATCACACAATTAAGAACGAATGAAAGACCCAGCTCATCCACTGAAATCAGTCGCTATTTAACATCCGGTACAAATAGAGGGAGTTTGTCTAAAAAATATCATGATGCGCAGACCAAAGAAATGGTCTGGATTGTAGGCATTTAGTCAGCAACCTTAAATAAAATAGGCCTAGGCTTTCAGAACAGACAAAAATGACCCCCCCTCTGGTGAAAAGACGAGGATCAGGCCCAGGAATATTGCACCAAGCATACCCTGGGTTTACCAAGACAGGGTACATATTTTGTACCCTTCGATTTGTCTCGCCCACACACACACGCACGTAAGACCTTGTTTAATCGACAGAACCGTGTTGACGACATAAAATCCTAAAGAAACGTTAGTGTGAGCCCGTTGGTGCAGGTCTTAGTAAGTAGAACCTCTCGTTTATCTCTCCTCCTTTGGCTAGCACAACGTGGCTGTTTTTTCTCTGTGTTCTCCGCTCGTTCAGTCGTTTCCTTAACAGCGGCGTGTTCTTCATAACGGCTCAACACCACCGCCGCCGCCACGCCCAATCACTGCTGCTCCAGGAAGCCCAGGGCCATCTCCCCCACCCCGAGGAAGTAGACGCCCTGCGCGATGCCGAAAAGTGGCGCGATGACCAGAGCGCGGCAGGTGGCGCCCTTCAGGAAGGCCGACGGGCCCTCCCGCCTCAGGACGCGCCTGGAAACGCACAAAGAGGCCAACGGCGTGAAGACGGAGAAGGATGAACGCCACACGGGCATTTCAGGTAACGCTCTCACCTCGTGCAGTCCAGAATCCCTCTATACGTGTCCTCTCCCTCTCCCTTTTGCAGCGTCTGCAGACGAGTCTTTATGACTGTATGAGGGTTTCAAACAAGAACGCACTTTTAAAGAATATCTGCAGAAGAATATCTTCTATTCTCTAAATCATTTTCAACATAGATGATGGTAGATTTTTCATTTTAAAAAAGCCGACTCAGTACGAGTCTTACACCCTGATGACTGTTTTTATTCTGTTCCTGATCACTGGACTTGCAGTGGGGGAAATAAGTATTTGACCCCTTGCTGATTTTGCAGGTTTGCCCACTTACAAAGAATGCTTATTTTTCCTCATCAGATGGTTATCAATTTTTATAAATTCATATGATGTGGTTTTTTGGGAATTTTCTTTGGGATTCTGTCTTTCACTGTTAGAATGTACATATGATTAAAGTTATAGATCGTTGCATTCTTTGTAAGTGGGCAAACCTGCAAAATCAGCAAGGGGTCAAATACTTATTTCCCCCACTGTAGATGATGGTAGATTGTTCATTTAAAAAGGCCGGCTCAGTAAGACTCTTACACCCTGATGACTGTTTGCGTTCTGTTCCTGATCACTGTACTTACCTTGTTCCAAAGTCAGATGGTATGGCTTAAATATTCAGCTATGACCTAAAGCTATAGGTACCTAAAGCTATATAGCTATGACCTAAATCTGTACACTCACCGTCCAGCGGCGTGACGGCCACGGCCGCCACGGAGCCGGCGGAGCAGCCCGCCATGAAGGACTGCCAGAAGGGGGCCCGGGTCTGGCCCTCCGCCCGCTCCCGGCCCAGCGCGTTCAGGTTGGCAAAGAGGGGGAAGTAGATCATTGAGAAGGGGACATCCCTGCAGATATGGATTGAAAAGAACTGAGGGGTTGGCTCGATGGAGGGTAATCAGATACCGGATGATTAATGGAAAGCAAAAAAAAAAAAAAAAACAAGAAAAAAAAAAAGAGGACAGGGGAGGGCAAAAGACAGGGACCAGTTAAACTGTATCATAACAACCAGACATGGCTGCAGGACTCCATTGATCGGTGCGGATTGGCAGATCTGTTGGGAGATATAACAAACCCAGCCAGAGTTCTGTAATGTGAAATAACTAAAAGGGTTCAGGCAGGGTCAGAACAACGAGGCATTGACCAGCATGTCCACAGTGAGCCTGCCAAACATCCATCTTAACTATTTCCTACATATAATTCTTCTTTAAAGAAACAAAGATATTGCGTGTGAACCTCATTAGAGTGGCCCCGGCTCCCCTGTAGAGGCCGGCCAGGCCGCGGGTCTTCAGGAGCTCCACGGTGATGCCGGTGGCCGAAGGCCTCCGGGGAGGAAGGGCCCGGGCCTGCGGCGGGGGGGCCACCAGTGACGGAGCCGGACCCGGGGCGGCGGCCTGAGCCGGGGTTGGCACGGGCCTCTGTGCGGCTGTACGGTTAAATACAAACCATCTCAGGTTAGACAGCAATCAGAGGTTAATCCGTCCCCACCAACACCTCCTGCCATGTTCTAAATGCTTTTATTTTACAACCTGACCTTTGCATAAACTCCTACAAAAATCAAACTGTAACTCTAATAATGCTCCGTGACGGTAGCGTTAGATCCCACACAAGACTCACCGAGTCTTCCTGCGTCCTGGAGCTGGATTTTGAGCATCTCCATGGGCGTGGTGACCACCACCTGACAGGTCCCGGCCCCACAGCCGGCCAGTACCTCCCCCCACAGGGGCAGATTGCTTCGGAGAGCAAGTATTATCACCATTAACAAACGGTCAATGCCGGAGAAAATCATACATTCGATGTTTACTTTGTGGTGACAGACGCCACATTTTTAAGTTAACGTGAATTTGTTTGAACATCACTCGACTATCAACTCGTTTAGTGTGGAGGCATCTTATTAGAGAATAGGTGATTGTATATACGTACCCATCCTTTGATAGCTTCTGTCTAAAGACGTCGTTCGCTGCTAGTTTTATTGCTTTTTCTGGTGTAACTAGTGTGAGGTTCACAGCTGCACCTGGAGGAGACGAACAAAAAGTGGTAAACGGGGAATGAATTAAAGCAAACGCAGGCCATTATGATAAAAAAACAAAACAAGGCAGGGTTATATTAAAAGCAGTAGGGATGCTTTAAATGAACGAGTTAGAAATGGAAATAATACCTCTGTAGCATCCAAAATAGCCCTCTGAGCGTACAGTCTTGGCAAGACAGTCAAACCTTTGAACACAACACAGAACACAGAATGATGAAGTTACAAGATTAATCTTAAGTGTTCATATCTTTTACCATGAACAAGCCGTAACGATCCCCCACGATTTGATGGCAAACTACATAGAGAACAGTAGTGTCAAAAACCTGTATTAACAGTTTATGGTTATACTTTTAGAGGAGGATGAGAGCGCCTTCAATGGAAGAAATGAATGGGACTATTTTCCATGTCTGACTCATTGTGGAAAACCACAGGCTGCCGAACACAAACAGGATGGCCACGCCCGAGCCGCCAGAAGTATTGATGCCAGCCAGATGTGGGCTGCTCATAATCCAGGGTCATTGTGCCTTCTAAGGACATGGAGTCTGTTTGGGTTTTGCATTCTGTCTCAAATGATGTTATGAAAGCAACCAGTTGATCGTAGAGTTTAAAAACACTGAAGGCTTTCAACTTGAACGCCGAATAATGTGATAAAGTGTGTTCAGCTTGGCCGCTCCACCACTCAGACTCACTGGGAAACTATGTGAGATGCAGTCATCTAAATTACCCAGGAACCTCACGCCAAATCTTTTTTCAACCAGCAGAATGTGGATACTCTAAGATGGAGCTTTGACATTGTTTTCGGCTGGGAAAAAAAATGCTTCTCAATATATCTGAGGAAAAAGTGCCAGATCAAATCAAACAAATGGCGTTCTGTCAAAGGTGATCTATCAATTAGAGAAGTAGATTAACTCTGACCGGGGAACCCCCCCCCACAACTTACATGCCTTTGTAGACCTGGACGCCCTGCTGGTTCTGTAGGCGGGTCTTTGCCAGGTCTATAGGAAATACACATGTCACCCCAACCAGGCCTGCCACGCCCCCATTAATCAGCTTAGCGGGGAGACTGCGAAGGGATCAACATCAGACACACGCACACGTACATAAAGAGACCCATTTATGCAGCCCTGCAACCTGAAAAATGTCAGACTTCATGCACAATGATGCAGATAAACTGGACAATTGCGGGCCGGGAGCCAAAAGAGGCCCGAAGCCTCCCGTCTGAGCCGAGTCAGCAACAATGTGTGGTTTCTTACCTAACTTTCTTCTCTCCCATCCTTCTCGATTTCGGGCTCCTCGCCCTGGCACTCTACAGCTTCCTCCTCTTGCTCTCTGCTCCTCCCGTCTTTGTCCCCTTCTCTCTTTTTTTTTGCTCACTTCTCCTCGGCTAGGGACCCAGATGGAGGTGTCAGCTCGGCCCTCACCTGCCCACCCACTCCACGAATCCTGCCTGCGCTCTGCCTCTTTTAACGTGGTGAAAAGGCCCGCCTCCTGCTTCCCTCTGGCCCCCGCGTGGACGGACGGCCCTCCTTTTTCTGCGGCGAGCGGCGCCTGACCGGTTTTCTTGCGCTCAGCCGCTCGGCTTTGTTGCGCCGTACAGGTCAAAACCGGGTCCCCTGCTCGCTGTGTGAACACACATAAAAGGCACGCAGTTCAATAGGGATTAAATGGTAGTAATATCAGTTCAAACCAGAGCTGCTCATTCAGAAAAATCTGGACTGCGTTATATCCCAGGACTACCACAACCGAGAAAGAACATCTTGAGTCCCTGTAATCTGTCTGCTAAAAGGGATTTGATCTAACGAGGAGGGGGGACTAAAAACGAGAGCATGCAGTTCTCTTTGTGATATATTCAAAGGCAAGTTTTTATTGTAAAGCACATTTGAAGAAGGGATTTAAAAAATGTCTAGCCATACATTACTGTAATTCCTTCTCTCTTAAAGTCCTGAAATATAAGGTCAAGTTGGACTAAATTGTGTAAAAGTCCTTAGAAATGCATGTGGAGTTGCACTAACTTTTACCATTTTTGTTCATTCTTTTTCCTCCTTTTTCCCCATTCTGACTTCCCTCTTTTCTCAGCTCTCTAATTAATCTCCCTCTTAATCTCCCCGCCTCCACACTGTCTCTATTTTTACCACTGTAAATCTTCACTCTGTACCCTGCCCATCTCCTCTCCGAAAGGAACGGAAACAACCTCTCATTTTTGATCCACCTGCCTCGGTTATGAATTGTGTCATTTCTTCTCATCACACCGGCTCATCAACTATTTCATCTTCCAGGTTTTTTTTTTTACTTTTGGTTTTTTCGCGAGCTCCGTCTTTTCCCTCCGGAGCCCCGGCGCATTCTGCACATGCCTTTCACTGAGCCTCTTTCTGTGCAACTTTCTTTCACTTCCATTCACTCCCCAGTGGGCGACCCCTGCCAAAAACACAGACGAGGGAGCCTCACCCTCCCTGAAACCGCTCTGCAGCTCACCACAAAGCTCACACACCCCCCCACAAAAAAACACCCCTCCACTGCCATCCTGTGCGGGGATCTGGGGTCTTACCTCTGCGGGGGCATCATCGCGGGATCGGGGGGCTGTCGGCTTTCTTTCCCCTCAGTGGTGCTAGCGGCAGTGGCAGTCAGGCGAGTGCGAGCTGAGGGAAGCGGCCGCCACTCAGGGGCCGTTGCACAAACACCAGCATTGTCCCGCCGCCCCTAAGTCCCTCCCTCTCCCTGTGACTCTCCGTGTGACAGCCCCAGCAACCGGGCTCTGCGCTAACACAACTCGACATAAACTCCTGCCTGTGGAGCTGCCAGCTCAAGGACCTACACACACACACACACACACACACACACACACACACACACACACACACACACACCACGCCACGGCCAGCAGTGACAAACGGAGTGTGGTGTGTGTGTGTGTGTTTCTGGCCGTATACACAACATAAACAGACACACACACAAAGGCCGCCCACCAGCAATGAGCCCTCTGTTCGGCCCTCCTGCCATTACATAACGCCCTCCAGGCAACCTGAATGTCCCAAATGTTCACAGACTTCCAGTCACTACCGATAGTAATATCAGCTTTAAGGTATTTACGGTTTGGGAAACGGGCCAAAAAAAGGCTATCGAAAGACAAACTTCTGTAAGAATATCAATAAAAACATGTGATCACCAGACCAATTGTTCGCTGTCCCTAAACTAGTTTTTCATCAGCATCGATTGATGAATTGATCCATCTCAATGGAAAAACAGTTACTTTTTTCAATAAATATTTCACTCGTCTGCTTTAATTAAAGGCTGCTCAGTTTCACTGTTAAAGCACAAGAGGGAAATTTTAAAAACTTTATGAAAAGTTTTATGTTATGTTTAACATTTAGACTCAGTCCAAAGAAAAGAATCGTTCTTTTTTAAATAAATGTGTAGAATGAGAGTAGAATCAACCAAAGATTTGACACTTTACACAGTGACGAATGCCGTCCAGTCTGTCCTTTTTATGCTTCACTGTCAGTTTGCAGTCGATGGAAAAAGCTATTGTTAATTTACTTTGTTAATTTGCACTCCTGTCTGTGTCAATCAAGATGTCTGCTCTAAAAAATGTCAGTTTGCACATGCATAATTCCTGTTCTCGGTGTTGTCCAAAACATCACAGACAAGTTGAGGCAAAAACAGGAGGACAGTTAAATTAACGTATCAGGAGTTTTGCTGTATTACTTAATTATTAGCATCGTCTAATATTGAAGTAATATCAGAAATATATCTGACTTTCCTGTGTCAAATCCATTGTTTTGTCACTTCCCACTGATGTATTTTATGATCATGATTTGAATGCTGATCATTTATACATTTACTTTACATCTCCCCACTAAGCTTTGGAAAAAAGCATCTGCTAAATGCACCAACAGAAACCTACCAAGTTTTTTCGCCGACACCAGTTTCCATTTCATAGGCTGAAAAAAAGAAAAGCAGAGGCTCTGAGGAGAAACAATGCCTCCTTACAGGTTTAGCCTTAGAGAACGGTAAACATTACAGCAGTTTAAACATCTAAAACCTGCAGGACAGCAGCCCTCGAGGACCCTTTGTTTTAGAGGAAGCACAATTGTGACCTAAGTCCATCCATACAGGTATTTCCCCTTCCAGAGCCTTTTGGTGTATTTTACCATGCATATAATGAGAAACCCCCCTCCTGCTCTGTTGTTTTTTTGTGCTTTTCAGGGTAGAACAATAAAACCCACTGACACCCATCTAAAGGTCTCGTTTGTGGGAGCAATTGAAGGCACCTGTGTAGGCGTGTCATCAGTTTTCTTTGTAGGAGACGAGTAAAAACCACCAGACCCAATCAGATTATTTCCTGTTGATACATGTGATTAATGTGTGGATATTTTTGTACAATGAATAAGAAAGTTCAATTTCCACACTGGGATACTTGCCTCTCGTATCTCTGAATTCCTCTGGGACTCCAGGCTCTTCCATATCAGACGAATTGGACCTTCAAACTTAATCATCAGTTCTTACCATTGTGGTCAATGTCATGATGCAGTCACCCAGATGTCCTGGTTAAATAAATCTCTATTTGCCACACTTTGTTGTTTTAAGTGTTCTAACCGTCCAGTTCTTTTTAGTTTTGGTGTGCCTCTGATGTCCCTGCCTCTTCAGAATGATAATGGCCGACCACTTCTAAAGTCACCAACTGGAAAATGATGCCATCTTGTGGCAAGCCTGAACATAAAATGTAAAATAATTTGAACATCTCCAAAGCTGCGCAAGTCTGTAAAATAGTTTCCTGTTGCAGTAGTTTACACACATTAAAGTACATGGAGAGGAATTATAGATTATGAGCTTGTATAGAGTAGTCATCACTTCTGCTCTATGTGTGATTATTAATCAGCTTTTCCACTTTTCCTGCACTTTTGAGATCCAATTTTCGTGTGTTTTTAACTTTTTTAGTTATTTAGATCGTGTAAATGTAGACAGTGTAAATACTATCCTTGTAAAAAAGCTTAATTTGAGTGCAGCTATTATTTTTAGATAGCCCTCTTAATGTTTTGCACGATCTCAAATATCTAAATATTACAAGTAATCCTGTTTTTCTTTCTGCTGTAAAAACATAGATTTATCTATAATAAACTGCAAGGAGCACATACAGAAAACCTACATACAAAAACCTAAAACAAGAACAATTGCAGACAAAAAGCTCACAACTGAACTTTTTTTAGGTTCAAATAGTCCTTTTCCCTACTAAAGAAATATTATCGGTGATTAAAAGTATGCAGTTGTTTTTTATTTGAATTGTTTTTCTATGATAAATGATTTTTGAGATAAGATTGTTTTTTTAAACATAGAAAAAGAGTTGGGGGGACTTGACTGGGCGATCGAGGGAAATAGTGAACCAGAATATATAAATGAGAAATGCTCTTAAGTCTACAGTGTAGTTTATCAAATAAAAACATGTTTGCTTGGACTGAAAAGAGCTCGTATTCTTCTTTCAAAGAAATGAATAAGTTTACACTTAACAGCGCCCATGACCTTTCCTCTAGTGCCACCCTTTAGGGCAAACATTACTCAAACATTTGCACAGTTAAAAGCACATACTGAGACTTGACATTGTAGGTCCACTCAGTATTAAAATCAATAGAATCATGTTAATAAAATTACATCTGGGGAATGTGAGTTCAACTGGTAATAGTAGCCACTTTTATTACCATTACACTTTTTAAGTCTATAAGCATGAACTTTTCCATAATTGCAATAGGGGGAGCCCCTGTACAGTCTATAGATAACATTCACAGTAATTTGCACAAAAATATTCAGTACCTGAAGCTCCTGTCCCAGTTTAATTCTGATATAGTGGCCAGCATAACGTAAAAAAAATCATTAAATAATTCATATGAAGTGTAACTTTATTTGGTATTGGCTGTGAATAAACTGACCATTAAAATATGCCAAAAGAGCTATGAAGAGTTGGATCGCCGTACTCGGACCTAACAAACTCTCAAAGCGTAGAATAAGTCACCTGTGTTATACCTGTTTAAAGTCTTCCTATTACACACACGAACGTTCCCTTTAAACGGTTGGTACATTATCATGTTGTGGGGTTGTTATTGACTAATAGTTCCGAATAGTAATGAGACAAATATTCACAATCAGAAAAACATCAGTTGTTTGGAAAAAAACAGAATGTTAGACAAACATTTCTGTAATTATCGTCACTTATCTTGCGCATTTGGTTGGCTGTTTTTTAGCGAAGTAATCGCAGTCCCCCTATCCGACGTGAGGTGGTATCGCCCATCCCATCTGTTCATCTCCGGTGAGACACTGATTGAAACAGATTGTAACGCTCCCCGGGTCGCAATGGCAACAACCCCTACAGGACGGCCGCGGCAACTTTTTTCCCTTTTGTAATGTCACGGAGGCATTATAAATCGCCGAGGAAACTACTTTCTAATGTGAGAAACAAGCGTTCTGCACTTTTACCGGCCCGAAAATGTCCCAGGGATGTACGGTTTCTGTGGAAGAGATCCAGTCTTGGTGGGAAGTCCCCGCCATAGCCCACTTCTGCTCGCTGTTCAGGACAGCGTTCAACCTTCCCGACTTTGAAATAGAGGTAAATAACCACCGTCGGTTCTCTTATTGACATTTATGTGTTTTAATACGGAAATGAAGACTTGTTTGTGTCAGCATTTTCGTCTCCGTGGCGGGCCGGTCGCGTTTGGTCCGGTCATTCGGTTAACCAGCTTAGCCGTGTTCTCTGAACTTCTGGGTGAACGTTACCGAGGCAATCCGGTTAGGTAACGAGTTCGTTAGCGGGGCTAAACGCTAACCCCGGCCGCCCCCGGCACTTCTGTCCGCCCGGGACTTCTTTCCACGGGCTTAAGCTCCCTCCGAACAACGCCGTGCGGGTTTGGTGTTGTGATTTGAGCCGTGAATCCCGCGGGGCCGTGAAGGGAAACGACGCCGAGCGGCTCCTCGGTAACTTTGGGGGTCCTCTTCCACCATGTGCCGCTCTCTTGTTTTCATTTTGGCAGAGGCTCGTGTTTAGGTTCAACTCTTGGCTCATTTGACCCGGAAACACGATTTAAAAAGAGGCCAATTAAAACAAAAAGTGAACGTGCGGTCATACTTAAATTACTTCACTGTTATATATATTTTTTATTTCTTTAACCTTGCTTTTTAAAGCAAGAATAGAGTTGAAACGTGCTTCCACCTTTTCCCCAACAATTCCTCTGCGTGTTTTTTCTCTTTTCTGTCAGATAAAGTTGAGTTCATGTCGTGAGGTTTTGAGTTTATTGTCTTCCAAGCCATCTGGCTCGGGTAGCCATAGGGACGCAGATGCTGTTCGGGCATTGTTTGTCCCCCCCCCTTCTCCCAAGTCCCATTTTGTTCCCACAAACAAGAGTTTCAGCGTCCGGGAACGATGTTATTGGGCCTCTGTTCCGGTACCGAAGGCGGCCTTGCCCACACAGGTCGCGTTGTGGGTCAGAATAAACGGACTGTGTAATAATACAGACGCATGACTTAACTTTAAGACTAGATCAGACCCCGCGTGGAGGGTTCACGGCACAGTGGAGTCACGCGCGTCCGTGGAAGATTTGCTACGTGTTGACCGGCTGAGCGACGAATCGTTGCTTTTTTTTTTTACCCCCCAAAAAGAACTTGATACGGTCAACATCACACATCCACAGCCTCCATCCCCCGGCTGCCCCCACCCCCTCCGGCCGGGGAACACGTAGGCATCATCGGCTTTGTTGTTGGAGCCGGGCGGGCCAGATGGGGCTCCGCACTGGTT